GCCTTAGTAGGCTCAAGACAGCGCCTCCTCCGCTTGGCCTTGGAGCTGTCACTGCCCCAGTGCCCCTTGACCTTCATGGAGCTGGCCCGGCTGCCCCCACCACACTGGTGGGCCACAAAGAAGGCCACCTTCTCCTTTGTATTCCCGGGCTTGATCACGTACCACGTGTCCAGCAGGACTCGCCCCTCATCGCCAGCAGCTGCTGCGGAGAGGAGCGGGGCAGGCTGGGAGGCAGGGGCCTCCGTGGCCAAGGTGGGCGGGGTGTTCTCTGAGTGGGCAGGCCCGTGGTCTGGCTCGGCCCCGCTGCCCGGCTCTGGGCAGGCTGATGGCTTGAGGGCCGCGGCAGGCGGGCGCGGCTGGTTCTGGGAGTAGGTGCCAAAGGGCCGGGGGCACCAGAGCTGGAAGGGCAGGAGGCCGCTGCGGTCCATCCTGGGAAACGGTAGCAGACAGGCCGGGGTTCACCGCATTTCAGGACCTGCTTGGATGGTCAGGGGAGGCTCCGCAGGCCACCTGGAGACAGGGAAGAGGAGGTTGGGGAGGTGGGGGAATAGCTTGCCCTCCTCCTACCACCCCGGCCTCAACCTCTTCTGAGGGGACAGACCAACTTAGACCACTGAGAACTCTACTCCTGCCCCGCTGCACAGGTGAGCAAAGGGAGGGCTGCAGAGGGGATGAGAGCCGGTCTTTAAACACCCAGAAGGTAACCAGAGCCGGCAGCCTGTCGCAACCATGCAGGTCATACTCTGTGGCCCGACTGCCCTCACTCATGATCCAGAGGCCTCCTGCTACCATAACCCTGGACTCTAGTGAAAGCAGCAACTGACAGGTCCTCCTTTGTCTCCTTGCTCACCCAACAGCCAGTTCCTCAAAAGACAAGAATTCCCAGCCCTACCCACAGCTACGGCTACTTGAGCCCACGGAGGAAGGAATGAGGTAGGCTGGGCAGGGGGAGAAAATCCAAGGTCACAGCCAGCCAGGCCCTTAAGAAATCGGCTCTTCACTTTGTTCAAGTCGTGGGGCTCCCTGAGACACCCTCAAAGCTGTGTGTCCTCGCCCAGAAAGAACGCACACACTCGCACAAGACCGTGCAGGTGATTAATTCCGTTAGGCACAGCCACAGACCTCTGGGATAAGAAGGCCTGCTCTGGTGGACACAGGTCAACTGAGTGGGGAAGGGTTTACTTGGTGTAACACCAGGCCCTCAAACTTGGTTTCGGGACTTTTCAATTCAGGGCTCTCTTAATGACGACCGTTTTATTTTGCAACGACTTTGTGCATGACCTACTCTGGAGACAATTCTGCCACTGAGTCTGACGTGACTGCTTTGCACTGCAGGACCACCAGGCAGCACATCCCTCCGTCTCAATCATTCCCTGGGCCCATCTCCCTCCAGGCATCTTGAAACCAAAATACTCTCCAAACCTCCAACCTCCCCAAACCTCCAACCTCCCACGTGCCCATAGACCAGGGGTCAGCAAACTACAGCCCATTGCCTGTCTCTGCAAATAAAGTTTTACTGAAACATGCTCATCTATCTATGGCTGCTTGCATACTACAATGGCAGAAGAGTTGCAACAGAGGACATACAGCCTTGCAAAGTCTAAAATACTCATTATCTGGCCCTTTATAGAAAAAGTCAGCTGACCCCTGCACTACAGACTATTCCAGGGGTCCTGAATTCTAAATTCAGGCAATTCCACAGACACCACTAAAAATTCCATCATTTCGTGGTCCTGTGGACAGCATTCAAAATCCAGACAGCCTCCAAACACCCACAGACACCAGTCACAAAGAGAGTCCTAATCCTAAAAATACTTATCCCTCATAATCCATGATCCCACCTTCCCCTCAAATACTTACAACCCCTGCTGAAATCCCAGTTCTTTGTTCCAAACAAGAATCACCATACAACCCCTAAAACCTATAGAGGACGAAGTCTACCATTCATCAATACATCCAAATGCTCAGGAATAGACACACAAACATAGCAAAAGCCATTTTCTATAGATGCTCTACAGATCACTCTACAACTTGGCTACCCTCTAAAATCCTCCATTCAGACCCTACCCTTATCTTCAGAATATATGCCTTCCCCCAAATATCCAGACTCTCTCCAAACCTAATTTAAATTCCTAAACCTATAAATATCCCCTCCAGCACAGAAGGCTCCAATCCCAAGGAACCCCTCGCAAATTCCATGTCTACCAAGGACTCCGACATTCACAGTGATTTCCCAACCTCACAGATACCCCAAAAAGAGGAGTATCCTGAAATCCTATACTCCCCTTCAAATACTTTCTAAACCTCTATACGTATTTCCTAAATCCACACAAGCCCTTCGACTGAAAAAAAAAAAAAAAAAAAAAAAAAAAAAAAAAAAAAAAAAAAAAAAAAAAAAACACCCACAACCTAAAACATAAAAGCTCCCTAACACATAAGACTAATCCCAAACCTTATATTTTTCAAAGTCTCCCAAACCCCCAAATGCTCCCAAAGAATCCTCACAACTGACACGTGCTTATTGCGTGTTCGCTGGAGCTTATTAGATACTGTTCTAACAATTCCTGCTAATCCTCCTCGGTCCCGATGAAGCAGGTTAGCGTATTAATTAGTTCCTGTGTCCAGATGAGACACAGGAAGGTTTAACCCCAAATCGGGGGTCAGACAGGTAGGAAGAAGTTGAGGCCAGGCATTCTGGCTCCAGCATCGGTACCCCTGGATTCTTTATTTTGTTCCTAAGTCTCTCCGTGAGCTCCTCAAATCGCAAACCCACCAGACATCTCAAACTACAAAGGAGACCCCTACAATACAACCGAAAGTTCCACATTACGAAAGAACCCAAACCCAAACCCCAAGGCTCCCCCTAAGCTCAAGGGAACCCCAAGTATCCCCCACACCCACGCAAACACTTTCTCAAGCCCCCAAATAACGATTAGCCGCGAAGGGAGCCCCAAATTTTGAACTGCCCCCCCATTCGGACGACCCCCGAAACCTAGACACGCCCCCAAAGGGCCCTCACCCTCGAGCCCCGCCCCCCTGCGGCGGGAGAGGGAGGCAGCACATACGCATGCGCGCACCAGTGAAGAGGGCCCGCCCCCTCACTCCTTCTCTCCGGACGTCGCGTGGTGGCGCGCGACTACTTTCTCTCCGCCCCTTTGTTGACAGACGCGCGCGTGACGCCCCCAGCCAATGAGCGGCTGCCGTTCGGGGCCGTGCCCATATAAGGAATGGCTTGGCGAAGGGGCCTAACTTCGAAAGAGGGAGGAGTAGGCGAGAGGTGAAGGGGGTGTGGAAACAGCGGAGTGTAAGAGAGCGTAGAACAATTCCCAACTTCTTGCTAAAACGGAGGATCAAGGCCAGGACAGAGGCCATGGTATTCAGGGATAGGTACATTACACGGCTTTCCCTCTAAACAGGAGCCCCGATTGACAGTTGAGATTTAAAGGGCGGGCAGCTTCAGGATTGAGGGCAGAAGGAACCAGGCAGAAAGATCTGAGTGCCCAGGTTTGGTTGGGAACCCTGGAGACCGAGATTTCCAGTGGGGGAAACTGGGCAGCGGGATCACATCATCCTTGAAAAACAAATGGCAGAACTCTGCGATGCCTCCCCACCTGCCTTCCCCACCTCTGTCGCGGCACTGAGTCTAAGCCTCTGGGCTTGGCATTCAAGGCTCAAGCTGTGTGTCCAAATGGACCTCTCCATTCAGCCTTTCCAACCAGGCGCCCCAAATCTGACTCAGACTTAGTACAAGGAAAGAATATTAAATACTTTCAATAATGCTTTTTAAATATTAGCTACCTGTTAAAATGATAATACTTAGGATATAATTTAAATAAATTACTTAAAATTAACTTCATCTCTTTCTTTTGACTTTTTAAAAAATGTGGCTACTA